ACAACTCGACTGATGCTGACAGCTGCGTGCCGGTAGTCGAGCGTGTGCAGCGGCACTCCCAGCCTCTTGCCAGTCTCTCGCCTCAGCGCTCGCGTCAGTCGATCAGTCCCCCACAGGCCCTGCTCGTCCGCCCACACGTAGTCGCTGAAGCTGCCACCGAGCACCTGCACGGTGAGATACTCACGGAACGGCTGCAAGTACGCCAAGTACAGCACCATCACCTGCCCTAGCCGCGGCGGCAAGAAGCGCGGCACCACCTTCGGCTTGTCCCACTGCGACTGCGACTTGTAATAGCGGACAACTGTCATCACCTGTCTGTCTATGACGAAGATGTTGCAGTCCTGCAGCAGCCTATTGTAGTGCCACATTATTGTGATCTCTGACCCTCTGCCTGGCTGTCCAGACGTCGTGTGCACGCAGACTATTAGCAGCATCAAGAAGCAGTCCACGCAACGCAAGTATCGCTTAACATGCTTCACGTTCCACTGCCCTTCGCTTAACTGCAGTCTGCAGCCCTGCTTAGTCTGCTTAGCCTACGTCAGCATCCACTCTAGCTTGTCCTAAAGACTATTGTCACAGTGCTGCACAAAAGACACGCCCTGCTGTTTAAACGTGACGTTGTTAACAAGTATGTCTAGCTTAACAGCAAACTACTCTTCTGCCCTTGTTACCTAGAACAGTTCCTCCTACAGCATCTGCTCTGCTTCAGACACCATGTCCTGCGCTATCTTGCAGAAGCAGCTGATGTAGATCCGCCGGCCATGCAAGTAGAAGATCTTCTTGTCCTTTAACTAGTACGCGTTGCCTAGGTTGCCAGCTGCCAGCGCGACGTACTTGCCGTAAGCCAGCAAGCTGAGCGCCTTGCTCATCGGGCTGTACAAGCCGTCTAACAGATACTTCTCTCTGTGCTCTAAGAAGCGCTCACAATCCTTGTCAGTCTGCTCATCGCGGCACGCGGATGGGAGCAACTTCTCCACGCTAAGCACGCGCATGCAGTAGACTACGCCTGCTAGCATATATAAGTAGTTCTTTGCTGTGCGCAAGCAGTTCGTGTTGCTGTTGATGCCCAGCACAGCAAGAAAGTGAATAAGTCTGCTGCTGAACAGCTTGTCACCTATTGTTGTGAAGAAGAATAATGTGAGCAAGTTTAGCAGCACTTTGAGCTGAGCGTCGCGCTAAGCGCTGCGCTGCGCTTCGTCATCAGCGTCAGCATCGCGGTCCAACATCTCCCACAGTGTTACTATGAGCTCCTTCTGCTTAACTGTCCAGCAGAACAGCTCTCGCGCGTCTTTTATCAAGTCCTTCTCTCTTCAGCTGCTGCTTAGGACGTTTGCCAGTTAGCTGCTGTTAGCATCAGAGAAGTTGTTGTCATTGTTCTCTTCCTCTTCTTCCTCTTCCTCTTCCTCTCCTTCTAAGCCATCCTTGTCGCCCTCATCATCTTTGTCGCTGCCCTTGTTGCCGCCTTCCTGCGCTGCCATCCTTGCCTCTGCGTCAGCCACAAAGCGCAGAGCGTAGCAGACAAATTTGACCATGTAGCTAGCGTAGCGGGCCTAACTCTCCAGGTTCTGTAATTAAGCTATAGGCCGCTAATTAATCTCCTGTCGCTTTGCGCTCCTCAGCCACTGCCTTGTCTCTCGCGCAAGCGTCGACAGCCCCTTGACGCTTCTCTCCACCAGCAGCTCCGTTAGCTTCGCTGCCCGCTGCAGCTTCTCCTCACCTTAATCAGGCAGCTAGGTCTAATGCGCAAGATGCATCAGATTGCGGTTAGCAAAGTGCTCTAGCCAGCCTGTCTGCTTAAACCAGCCAGTTTTATCTGTCTTTGCGACTTCAGCGTCCATGACCTGCGCCTTCTCTTTGTTTGCGTGTTTTGTTAGCGTCTATTCTGCTAGCTGCTCCCTAACAACATCTGTTGTCTTGTAGGGGTTAGATAGTGCATAATTATTGTCTACTACCTTAATAACAAAGTATTACTAGAGCCTACTAGTTTAGAAGAACATCTGCGCTATAACCTTCTTACAGAGTCTAATGTCTTTACTGCTCTAAGCTATCTAGTGTACGTTGTTGCAGTGCTTCTAGATTCTAATCTTGTTTGCGGTACAGAAGCTGCAGTCGCTAGTGATCCTGCATTGATAGACGTCTAACGGCTCGCCTAGCTGCTCAATCGGCGGCCCCAACGGCGCAGGCAGCTCAACATCTTGCGGTGCGGCGATCTGCCATTGCCGGCAGTGCTCTACAATTGATTTCCTCTCTTCGCTTGCTACGCCGTGCTGGTCGCGCAGAT